GGAGATAGTGGGGGGGGGGGGGGGGGTGTTGGTGTAGGCAAACCCACATAGAGTTTAAAGACATAACAAAGTAGAGTCAAATCTCAGGGGCTGAGAGTAGGGAATTCAAGGTTGCCAGAATAAAAGAAACGTTGTATGAGTATCCACCAAATCCACCATTATCGCAATCAATTGTTCATTGTGATACCTATGAGTCTGTTTTTTGCCACCTCAAAGTCGGTGATCGCCAGGCTTTAGCAATGGTTAATCTAGTGGCAATAAATATATACCCAACCAACAACTGCTCAGTCCAAAGAAGGGTTTGGATAGGCATATTAACATTGCTTCTAGTGGGTTTTTATGGAGATCTGCATGTAGCAATGTAAGTATATAACCCCATACCCTAGTCACTATCAGGCAGGCCCCAGGGCCCAGATATGTGCCATTGTGCCAGATTGAGAGCAGCCTTAAACACAGGTATTGGGGTACATAGGGATGAACTGCGCCAACTCCCCAATACATTGAGAACACACAAAAGAAGCACCACTCCTTCATATGTCAGGGAAGGAAAGTGCCAGGTGCTGCACAGGGGTCTCTTACCCCTTTATAAGATTTCTCCAAAGTCAGGATATTTCTGGAGGAAGCAGTAGCCATCCAAATCTCCTGCCAATCCTCAGGGGGTAATGTAGAGTTAAGCTCCTGTTCCCCATGTTTTAGATATAACGGAGGTTTTCTTGGAAGACACTAAGGAAGAACAGATCAAAGTTAACATGTCCCGGGCATAAGGGTCAGAGTGATACTTCCTTTCAAAAGGGGTAAGAGTATAAGGTGAATAATGTGCCTGGAGAGAGTACAAAATGTCCAAGTTGAATATATCACAATGTTCCCGTAAGGGGATGCCGTGCAAGTATTATTATTGATTCTTCTCTCTACTTGTACTTCTCCCTCTCCTTCTTGCAGTCATGTAAGCATTTCACTGCATATCATACTTGTACGATTATGTATGTGACAAATAAATAAATCTATCTATCTATAATCTAAGTCTTGGAGTTGCTGAAAAGCTTTAAGCCGAGAGGGAGAGAGAAAGAGAGAGAGCGGGAGAGAGAGGGGAGAGAGAGAAGAGAATAATTCTGGTCCATCCGCCAACAAAAGTGAACAGAATCACCCTGGCCAGGTGGGAGCAGAGGGGAACAAAGAGTTTCAGGAAAGGGAGAAATGGGGAAGCAAGGCAACCAAACCCCAAATGTGTAACGGGGGCAAGACAGGATTCCAACATCTAGGGCGAGAGCTAGGAGGGAGCCATGGGAGGGTCGCTGTGGGAATCAGGTAATACGCTATCAAATCCAATGTAGCCCATAACGGCAGATCAGGGGCGGCACTGAGATGAGATAAAGCAATATTTGCCACCAGATAATAGTTCCGAATATTGGGAAGCGCTAAGCTACCAGTCAGCTTGGTAGAGAATAAAACGCGTTTCGAGATCCTAGGCTTGAATTTACCTCAAATTATGTTGTTGAATATGGAGAATGTGGGCAGGGTGAGGGTTCATACCCTTTAAAGATTGCTGCTACCATTAATAAAGCATTCTGACATTACCTACAGGTGTGACAACATGAAGCCAGTAAATTGTGATAAATATGGATGACATCATGCACAGCAAGCACATTTATAGTGCATATATTTGTCCACAACTCCACAACCACCCCCCTCTCCCCCCCTCCCCCCCACGACACTCCTACGATGGTACAACCTGCAGCAGGGGGATCCGCTGAGACTTGGGCCTCTTATATTATTT